GAGTTGTGGCTTGGGGTGGAGGGGGCGGGGCTTCGGCTGCCTCACCCCGCAGGGCTTTCACCCACCGCCCATGGTCTGCACATTCATCTATAAGTGCAGGCTCACAGAGACTCCTGCTCCGCGAAACCTCTGGAGGCAACGGGCTCTCAGCGGAAGACGTTGTCAAAGGACGAAACTCAAAAATACCGGGCGGGCCACTGCTAATTGCACTGGGCTGAGCTGTGACCAGTTTCTAGGCTGCACGTGATTTCAAAGGGGGCTGGCCCAGCCTCTTGTCTTTCATGCAGCACAAAGCTGGCCTGAAATGATCATTTTTGCAAACTTCATGGAGTTTGGATTCAGTCGTGCACGATTTACTTGGCTAAACTCTGAGAGCACGGCTGGAGTATGGAGCTGGTCAGGCACTTAGGCGTGGAGTGACATGGGCTATTCTAAAAAACCCCAACCATTACTCATGGGAGTGGAGCAATCCATTCAACATTTTAGGAGTCAGGATTTCAGGATCTGGTCCTTGGAGCCAAATTCTGCTCGCAGTTTCCCTGGAAGTATCCCTGATACTGGGGCCTGTAGATTGTCGACTTTTCAACGCAGAGACCATTGGGCACAACTGACTTTCACAGTAGAGTAAAACCAAAGTAACTTCAGAGTTGTTGCAGATAGGACTCAACCAATAAAAAAACAGAGCGGGCGGGGAAGGGGGCATAACCGTGGAATGGAACATTAGTGGAATGAAACACCATGACATAAGGTGTTTCCAATATGTAAATAGTGGTGTACAATGGAATGCCACCAAACATAAGGCTCCGTGCTAGCAATTCTGTAGAGCAGCTCGCAGGGAGCCATGTAAAGCCACAGAGTTTTAAAGCAGGGGAGAGGAACCTAAGGCCCAGCAGTCAGACCCCACCCCCAGCTTGCTTGGATCCAGCCCCCAAGGCTCGGGGCTCCCCGCCCCCCAGAACTGGGTACTTCGCACCAGCATCGCCCAGACCCTGCACCCTAGCCTGCTACTGCACCCTCCCAGAGAATCCCTCACCCTCAGTCTGCTCCTGCACCCCCCTCCTGCCCAAACCCCCATCTCCACTTTGCTCCTGCACCCGACCTCCCGCCCAGACACCCCCATCTAGCTCAGACCCCTCACCGTAGCCCACTTCCCACACCCTGAACCTCTCATTTCTGGCCCCACCCTAGAGCCTGGGGGGGGCTCACAAAATCTACTAGCCCAGCCCCCCCACGGCTTTGGTGTGCAGCCCCTGATTTTTTTTGTGGGCCAGCCGCCCTCGGCCCAAAAAAGATTCCCCACTCCTGCTTTTCTTCAAAGCAGCCCCGGAGCAGCCAAGTTATCTGCAGACAAGTTCAGATTACAGAGGCGGCTCCCAACCTTGTTCCCAGCCAGCTCGCAGAGTTTCTATCCTTTCCCACTCCCCCCCATCCACTCTATTAGTGTCTCACTTCAATGAAATCTCTGGATACTGCTGGTTCAATTTATACCCACACAAATAACTTTAAAAAAAAAGGAAGAAAAAAAAGGACAAAAAGCGGCTACAGACTGTCCTACTGAGGGAGAACAGAGCCATGGGCGCGCACTCCCCTCCTTGCGCGTGGGAAAAAGCGACAGCTGCAGAGCACAGCCTTCCTTGCCTGCTAACAAAGGGGGAAATCAGAGCGACCCATTGTAAAACGCTTGTTGCATTATTTACTGTAGGGCAGCTCTCAATCCTGTACGGCCCTGGATACTCAATACCTGCTGCCTGAAAGATCTGATTGAGTCAACCAGCCGCCCCCCGGCCCTGTTTTACTTTGGGGACGAGGGAAGGAAGCCAGTTTTGGGTCGCGTATGCAAAGTGAAGTGAAACCAGACAGCCCCAAATGTACCTACCCAGGGCTCTTCCAGGAAGGCTGGGTGACACCCTTGCTATGACTAAGCCTTTTGACTTTATAGTGTAACGCTGATGAACACAGCGGAAGGCAACTCCAGGCAGAGAGCAATAGGGGTCCCCATACTTAGTCCTGCACTCCCTGGCCTGCACGCTCCAGAATAAAAACCTCTGTCTCGCTTCTGTTTAAAAATCATTGGGGACAGATCCAACCGGGCATCCTTTTTTTTTTTAAAGCACATGCTAGAGCAGCCTGCAGGAATGGCACACGGCTATACAGGCTGGACTCATTTCTTACCTCCCCCCGCTTCCTCCCCGCAGGCTGCTTTCCCCTAGTAACCTCCCTTGATTGTATCAGTGGCCCTGGTTTCAGTGGGAATCAGGGTGGCAGACGCCAACCCACTCATCCAAGTTAGCAGCCAAACACAGGAGCTGCACTTTTTCCGCCTTACAAAGCTAGTGAGAGGACTCCCATTGTTTTGGTTGGTCTCTAAAATGCCACAGGCCTAGTCCTTGTTTCTAAAGTTACAGACTTCACATGGCTCCCCCGCGCTGAGACTTTTTACCCACGTGATTAAATGCTACCCCCATATTTATACTCTTAGGCAGTGTTTTTGGTTGCTTATTTTTTCAGTGCTGTGAGGATTAAGGCAGGGAAGTGGTGCATTTTCAAGCAGACTCATCATCACCTTATCTCCCCATGTTAAGGGGATTATTTTTAAAAAATATCTTCCTACTCTTTCCTCTCACCTAGGTGAAACTCGCGCATCTTTCACTTTGGGGCCTTTTTGACGAAAAGAAGAATTGCTACACAAGTTTCCATTTGATTGTTTCCCCAAAGGTTACTGCCGTGTACAAGAAACAAAACGGCTTCTGACATCCGCCCCCAAACTTGCAAGGAAGGGCTGAGAGAACAAGAAATCTGACGTAGATTCAAGAAACAGGAAATAAAAAATTAACAAGGCTCTCAAAAAATAAAAAAAAAGCAGCCCATCTCCGGCTTGCTCATTACATACCCCAGCCTTTAACAGAGCACATCTTATCTGAAGAAGTGGGTTTTGCCCACGAAGGCTAGTGACTCTAGACATACATGTTTGCTAGTCTCTAGGGTGCCACAGGGCTACTTGTTGCTTTTTTAAAAGTTGTTTTCAAAGTTACAGACTAACACGGCCACCCCTTGGAGACTTTTACACAAGGAAAAGAGTCACTTTCTGAACTTTGCAACATGAAATATTCCACTGCCCAGAAAAAGAAATTCATACCAAAAAGCCCCTTCACTATTCACAGTATCCTGAGATCAGTTCTCCAAAGTAACCCCCTCCACACACGGTTTGTGACACACACACACACACACACACACACACACACACACACACACACACAGTTTGTGTCACAAAAACTGTCACGCTATCCAGCCCTGTGGTGGCAACTTTTAAAGGTTTGCTTCTCTCGGGAGATCTCTAGAGAATAAAGTTTTAAGAGAACTTTCTCTCTCTCTCTCTCTCTCACACACACACTTCACCGCTCCCCAGGATTGTTTCTAAGCGGAGGGAGTTACACACACTTGATTCCCCGCCCTGCCAGCCGCACACCTCTCAGGTGGGTTGTGATCTTTTAAAATCCAAGGGCTCGGGGAGGAAACGGCTTCCCTCTCCGAGGGCAGCTGGTGGCAGAGAGCAATGCACCACATACAGCGAGTGCCCCACGGAACGCAACTCTCCCCCCACATAAGAAGGCAACTCCCCCCCCCCCCCCCCCCCCCCCCCCCCCCCCCCCCCCCCCCCCCCCCCCCCCCCCCCCCCCCCCCCCCCCCCCCGTCAGCCTGAGCTGAGCCGAGCCGCAGCCCTTTGCAAAGGGGTTCACCTGCGCTTTAGGCTGAGCCCCGGCTTCTCAGGGAAGCCCCCGCCAGGAGGGAGCTCTGCCCGGTTCGGAAGCCCCCTGTCCCCGCGCCTGGCTGCACCGGAGCCGGGCAGGGGAAGACGGGACACAGAAAGGGGGGAGGAAAGTTTCTCCTTCGCCAGCGAGGGACTCCCCGGCTCCATCTCCAGGGGCGCCCCTCACTTCTGCCCCAGCCCACGCGGGCCCCCGGCCGGCCCCTACCTCGGCTGAGCGCGGGCAGCAGGGAC